TTTCTCTGCACATGTGATTGCTCAGATTCCAATCTGAGACGTATTTCCTGTTAATAAGGATAATTTTCTATCCGTAGTACTATGGTTAAAATATTCTGACACAAGTAATCCAGAGGGATGAGGGTTTCTCACCTCTTTCTTCACAGCTCGGTCACTCATCAGGAAATGCATCTTTATGTATTTGGAAAGAACTGAGAGACATTATTTCCAATGGTCCTATTATTATGTGAAGGATTCTTCCTGAGATTCTTCCCCTGTTTCAACTGACCCTGAAACACTGTGAACTCTTTGGAAGACAATAGTCAAGGATATAAATGATATGCATTGCTAATTTTATTTTATTTTATTATTTTATTTTTTAATTTCTTTTAAAGATTTAGTTTTTTTTAATTTTTTATTTATTTATGATAGTCCTACAGAGAGAGAGAGAGAGGCAGAGACACAGGCAGAGGGAGAAGCAGGATCCATGCAGGAAGCCCGATGTGGGATGTGATCCGGGTCTCCAGGATCACACCCCGCCTGCAGGCGGCGCTAAACCGTTTGTGCCACCAGGGTTTACCTTTTTTTTTTTTTTTTTATTATTTAGTAATCCTAAGTTATTTGAAAAGGAGTAGTAAGATAGATAAGGAGTTCAGAATTGAGAAAAATATTAAAATCATTTGAGGAAAGTAAAGATGTTGATCACAGAAGTGGGTTTCTTGCAATTTACTCAGTTATAGCTTGTATATTCTGAACAGAAAAAAAGAAAGGGAAGGAACCCCATGTGCTTGAGGTCATCAATTTCATCTGTAAAAAGGAAATAATACCGCCTGTCCCGCAACACTGTTGTGAGGGACTAGAAGTGATGGCTGTGGATGTAAAGAGTTGCTAGGTCCAGTCACCATAAAATGCAAAAACAACACACGAATATAGCTACTAATATGCCTGCAATATACTTTTTATTTTGTTTATTTATTTATGTATTCATTCATTCATTCATTTGAGAGAGAGAGAGAGATCGAGAGAGAGACAGAGGGGCAGAGACACAGACAGAGGGAGAAGCAGGCTCCATGCGGGGACCCTGACGTGGGACTCGATCCTGGGTCTTCAGCATCGCACACGGGCTGAACGCAGCGCTAAGACGCTGAGCCACCAGGGCTGCCCTGCAATATACTTTGAAAAAATATATTTTAATTATATTTATTTGAGTGAAAAGAGAGAGAGAGAGAGAGAGAGGCAGAGACACAGGCAGAGGGAGAGGCAGGCTCCATGCAGCAGGAAGCCCAAAGTGGGACTCCATCCTGGGTCTCCAGGATCACGCCCTGGGAAGAAGGCAGTGCTAAATGAGCCACCCAGGCTGCCCTTTTCAAGTCTTCTTAAAACACACAATTCGACTTCTTTTCTAGCAAAGTTTTATGTGAGTTGGTATACCTATCAATTAAAAAGCTGTAGGGTATGGATCCCAGGCTGCCCCTAAGGTGCATGTTCAGAGCCCTTCCAACTCCTCCAAGTGTAGCCTGGAAACCACCACCGCTGGTCTGACCCACGTCCACAGCTGTGGGAACCAAGTGCCAGAGGCAGTCACGATTTACTGGATCAGAAAACCCAGTTCTCTCCTGAAGCATCTGAGTCAGGGAATTGGTTTCTCTGAGGGCAGGGTGAAAACACCTTACTCCGATCAGATCAGGATTTCTCTGGTCCCAAGAAAAATGCTTAGCGTTTTTGTGTTGGTTTCTTTCTTCTCATGTTGCTTGGCTGTTTCTCTCTTGTAACATTGCCCTACTTCCTTTGGGAATTAGTTTTGGAAAGAAATCGCTCACATAATGAAAAGGATCTAGAAACTCAGGTTAACAAAATTTTCTAGCCAGTGTGGATATGTGTGATTCACAGTTGCTTGAAGCCGACAGAAGTTTGTTTGCACAAATTAATAACAACTTTTAATAAACGGACTTTACTGTTCACTGCTAAAAATAGTCCTGTCAGAGGGGCAAGATGGCCGAAGAGTAGGGTCCCCAAGTCAGCTGTCCCCCACCAAATGACCTAGCTAACTTTCAAATCGTCCTGAAAACCTATGAATTCGGCCTGAGATTTAAAGAGAGAACAGCTAGAGTTCGCATTTCTATCAAGGCGGTTCCCACCTGGGCCTCACTTGGACCTGGTGACTGTGGTTCCCACCTGGGCCTCAGCCAGACCTGGTGACTCTAGTCCCCAACTGGGCCTCACCTGGGCCTAGTGACTCTCTGGTCCCCATCTGGGCCTCCTGTGGACCTGGCGACTGTGGTCTCCTCCTTGACCTCGCCTGGACCTGGTGACTGTGGTCCCTACCTGGGCCTCACCTGGACATGGTAGCTGTGGACTTTCATCTGGACCTGGTGACTGTGGTCCCCACCTGGGCCTCACTGCACCTGGTGACTGGGCTCCTCAGCTACCAATGACTAGGATCCAGGATGGACCCTTAGTTGCTACTGATACCGGGACCCATCCCCAGGGTCTCACTTGTTCCTGGTGACTTATGGTCCTTGTCTGGGCTGACCTGGCTCATCCTTGGCTCTGATCCTCTCCTGGGCCTCCCCTGCTCGTGCAGGTATGGTCCCCCCCTCTCGTGGGTGGTGTGTAGTGTCTATGGTCCCTTCTGGGCCTCACCTGATGGTACTGGGCCACGATATTGGCCCTTTGCAAGGCCAGCAGGGTCTTTGAGTCCTCCTGCATGGTGCTGGAATCCAAAGACATCCAAGAATGACGGCGCATGAGAACCTTCCGAGAGGACACATGCATCAGCGTGCTCCCCGAGGGGCAGGTCCCCCGCCGCCTGACTGGAGCCGAAAGACAACCCCATAGCCCTGAGGGGCACAGGGGTGCGCTGGAACATCACACACGGGCCCTCACTGCCTGTCTGTCAAGGTTCCAAGTTGAGCCAAAGCTCCTTGCTGTCCCTGGCCAACCCGCAGTCCTGGTGCGAGGCAGGGTTCCGGGTTGAGCAAAGGCTCCTTGTCCTACCTGGCCAACCCGCTGGGACTGCACCTAGCTCTTCCCCCTTATGGAAGTAAAAGTACATATTTGCTTCTCCTTTAAAATGTTATCGAGACAAGTTCCCATAAAGTAAGCAAGAGTAGGTGGCCTGACACATGACCGCCTTGGCAGACATTACTTAATAAACAAACCTCACTGTTTAGTCTAAATGTGGCCTTCCTGCTCTATTGCTTAAACAAATAACAGGTGTTAGTTTTAAAAACAATGTATGTTTGTGCGCGAGATGTACTTCTCCTTAAAGAAATAAGCCGCCTGCTTACAGAGGCTATATAAACTCTACATGCAAAAATAAAGCTTGTCCATTGTGGCCATCAGCTGCATGGAACCTCCTATCCCATGAACTTTTAGTCTCTTGTTTATTTCTCATCCCCTTGCCCTCGGTTCCTGAATCCGGACCTTCTCGCGCCGGCCGCGACAAAGTGGCGCCCGAACAGGGACCCGAGACAGAGTGAAAGAAGAAGTGTTTACGTTACAGGTAAGGGGATCGGCGGCTCCGTGAACGATAGGAGTAAAATAATCATGGGACAAAGGCAATCTGTAGAACATGGGTATTTTTTAAAAGTTCTACAGGCTCTTTTAAGGGAGAAGGGGTTTAAGGTTTCTCATAAACTCTTTGGATAAGTTCTTTGATACAGTTAGAATAATATGCCCTTGGTTTCCTGATCAGGGCTCGGTGGATCTTTCGGATTGGCAGAGAGTTGGACAGACTCTGAAAAATGAATTAAAAATAAGAGGGGAACAACTGCCTCCTGATATATGGACTACATGGAATTGTATAAAGGAGGTTCTGGATCCTACAGACTCTATTGAGATCATCTCCTTTGAACTCTAAAAGTGAAAAAGAGTCTCCACCCTCGATGGGGGGGAGCTTAAAAAATCAAAAAAAATCCATACTCCCCCTTTACATAAACTGTCCCTTAGAATAGATGATGAAAAAGAGGATCCGTTTGATGGTCCCTACCTTGAAGATAGAAGGGAAGAGGTTTTTGTTTTAAATCATGCTGAACCTCCTCCCCCACCTTTATTACACTCCTCTGCTGTGCAAACTGAGAAGGCTCCTCGAAAGCCTTTTTCCTGTTCAATCAGATGATTCTTACCCAATAAAAGGAGTTACTCCATTACAAAGAACTCTATTTCAAGCCTCACAGAGGGGAGAAGATGTATCTGAGTTTCAGTTATTTCCTGTTACTGTGCAGGGGGGACAAAGAGCATACACTGCCTTAAGCTTTAAAGTACTAAAGGACTTTGAAACAAGCATGTACTCAGTATGGCCCTACAGCGCCTTTTACTCTATCTATGTTAGACATTTTGACACGAGAAGCGTTATGTCCTGGAGATTGGAGGGTCATTGCACAAGCATGCCTCTCCCCGGGGGACAATTTGTTATGGAAAACGCAATTCTCTGAAAATGCCGAAAAAAACAGGCCAGCTACAATAGGGGAACTAACATTCCTGTTGATTACAACATGTTAACTGGTTCTGGTCCGTATTATGACGTAGGCTTGCAATTGGATTTTCCTGAAGTAGCTTATACCCAAATTAATAGTTGTTCTCTGTCAGCATGGAATGGAAAAAAACTACCTGCCACAAATACAAGGTCACAGGAACTGTCAAAAATCAGGCAAGGTCCCGAGGAAAATTATTCTGATTTTGTGGCCAGATTGTTAATAACCGCAGTCAGTAGAATAGTCAGAATAGTCACCGAATGATGCGAAAGCTGGCATTCATAAACACTATTTGAGGGTGGCCAATTACCAAAAAATTTCTAAAGATTAATATGATAAAATGCTGCCTATGAGAATGCTAATGCCGCCTGTCAAGCAGCCATAAGACCTTGGAAGAACCAGGGAAACTCTTGGAGATTATGTGCGCCTTTGCGCAGATATAGGGCCCTCGTATTTGCAAGGAGTCACCTTGGCTGCTGCTTTCAAAGGCATCCCTCCTGCAAAAACTGCATGCTCAGATACTAAAACAAAATAAGAACCCAAACACTCGCGCCGGCCGCGACAAGTGGCGCCCGAACAGGGACTCGAGACAAAGTGAAAGAAGAAGTGTTTACGTTACAGGTAAGGGGATCACGGCGGCTCCGTGAACGATAGGAGTAAAATAATCATGGGACAAAGGCAATCTGTAGAACATGGGTATTTTTTAAAAGTTCTACAGGCTCTTTTAAGGGAAAAGGGTTTAAGGTTTCTCATAACTCTTTGGATAAGTTCTTTGATACAGTTAGAATAATATGCCCTTGGTTTCCTGATCAGGGCTCGGTGGATCTTTCGGATTGGCAGAGAGTTGGACAGACTCTAAAAAATGAATTAAAAATAAGAGGGGAACAACTGCCTCCTGATATATGGACTACATGGAATTGTATAAAGGAGGTTCTGGATCCTACAGACTCTATTGAGATTATCTCTTGAATTCTAAAAGTGAAAAAGAGTCACCACCCTCGATGGGGGGAGCTTAAAAAATCAAAAAATCCATACTCCCCCTTTACATAAACTGTCCCTTAGAATAGATGATGAAAAAGAGGATCCGTTTGATGGTCCCTACCTTGAAGATAGAAGGGAGGAGATTTTTGTTTTGAATCATGCTGAACCTCCTCCCCCACCTTTATTACACTCCTCTGCTGTGCAAACTGAGAAGGCTCCTCGAAGCCTTTTTCCTGTCCGATCAGATGATTCTTACCCAATAAAAGGAGCTACTCCATTACAAAGAACTCTATATCAAGCCTCACAGAGGGGAGAAGATGTATCTGAGTTTCAGTTATTTCCTGTTACTGTGCAGGGGGGACAAAGAGCATACACTGCCTTAAGCTTTAAAGTACTAAAGGATTTGAAACAAGCATGTACTCAGTATGGCCCTACAGCGCCTTTTACTCTATCTATGTTAGACAATTTGACACGAGAAGCGTTATGTCCTGGAGATTGGAGGGTCATTGCACAAGCATGCCTCTCCCCGGGGGACAATTTGTTATGGAAAACGCAATTCTCTGAAAATGCGGAAAAACAGGCCAGCTACAATAGGGGAACTAACATTCCTGTTGATTACAACATGTTAACTGGTTCTGGTCCGTATTATGACGTGGGCTTGCAATTGAATTTTCCTGAAGTAGCTTATACCCAAATTAATAGTTGTTCTCTGTCAGCATGGAAAAAGCTACCTGCCACAAATACAAGGTCACAGGAACTGTCAAAAATCAGGCAAGGTCCCGAGGAAAATTATTCTGATTTTGTGGCCAGATTGTTAACCGCAGTCAGTAGAATAGTCACCGATGCGGAAGCTGGCACTTTAATAGTTAAACAACTGGCCTATGAGAATGCTAATGCCGCCTGTCAAGCAGCCATAAGACCTTGGAAGAACCAGGGAACTCTTGAAGATTATGTGCGCCTTTGCGCAGATATAGGGCCCTCGTATTTGCAGGGAGTCACCTTGGCTGCTGCTTTTAAAGGCATCTCTCCTGCAAAACTGCACGCTCAGATACTAAAACAAAATAAGAACCCAAACATAAAAATGAATCAAAAATGCTTCTAATGTGGCCAATTGGGGCATTTTAAAAATCAATGCCCTCAGAAAAAAACTTCTCAAACTACAAAAAAACCTCAAAACCTTTGCCCTAGATGCCACAGAGGATATCATTGGGCTAATGAATGTAGATCAAAAACCGATTCTAACGGGAATCCCCTTTCAGGAAACGATTCCCTGAGGTATATTATATTCATTACATGGATGACCTATTACTGGCAGCAGAGACCAGTGAACACCTGGCTAACGCCTTTCGGGTTCTTTCCCAATGTCTTAGCTCTGCTGGACTTCAAATAGCTCCTGAGAAAGTACAGAGAGAAGCTCCCTTTGAATATTTAGGATATCTTATTAGTAAACAGAGTATTAGGCCACAGAAAATCGCAGTTAGAACCTCGCAATTAAAAACTTTAAATGACTTCCAAAAATTATTAGGTGATATAAATTGGCTCCGTCCTTCGCTGTCTCTCACCACTTCTCAGTTACAGCCCCTTTTTTCTATTTTAAAAGGGGACTCCCCTTCATCTTTGAGACAGCTTACTCCAGAAGCAGAGGATGCCTTGGCTTTAGTAGCAAATAAAATTTCCTCTACACAGCTTCAACAAAGAGATTTGACAGAAAATGTTAACTTAATAATCTTAAAACCTAATGGCAAATAAATGTAACACATTATTCATCTTTTAATAAATTACAATTTGTGCATGTTTCTATTGATACCTATTCTGGCATGATCGTAGCTTCTGCTCATTCTGGTGAAAGTTTTACTGATGTTCAAAATCACCTTTTTCACGCTTTTGCTTACATGGGAATGCCTAAACGATTAAAAACTGATAATGGGAGTGTTTATATATCCCAAGCTTTTAAAACCTTTTGTGAAACATTTCACATTCAGCATACCACAGGCATCCCTTACAACTCTACAGGTCAAGCTATTATTGAAAGAGCTCATCGTACACTTATACCTTACAAAAACTAAAAAAGGGGGAGATTATGGCAGGAAAAATGAAATATTCCCCCCACATGCCCCTAGACTTAGCAATATTCTGATTGTGCATGATGATGGATATACACCATCAGAAAAGCATTGGGGAAAAAATACTGATCCACCCCTTATGGCAAAGTGGAAGGATCCTATGACAGGACAGTGGAAAGGCCCTGACCCCTTGCTTAGACAGGGTCGAGGATGTGCTTGTATCTTCCCACAGGATGAAGAAGCGCCGTGCTGGGTTCCAGCCAAATTTGTTAGAGATATCAAAACTGAGAAGGAAGATGAGTCGGCTGAACTTATGCCCTCCTCGGAGAAAGAGGACTTGTAAGACGAATCTGCCATCATGGGGACAAATAAAGAAGTTAACCTCACAAGCCACAAGTTTGATAAGAAGATTGATTTCAACACAAAGTTATTCCTGGTGCAACAACCTCCATATTGGATGATCCCTGTTGATGTGAGAGGACCTTGGTATGCGAACTTTGGCATGCAGTTAGCTCAAGAATTGGTGAAGAAGCTAAGAAGAACTCGAAGATTTCTTGGACTTTTAATTGCAGGGATAGTGGCTACTATTGCTCTTATTGCTTCTGCTACTGTATCTGTTGTATCTTTGCATGAAAATGCTCAGACCGCTGAACATGTAAATGAACTTGCTAGAAATGTAACTGTTGCTCTTGATGCTCAAAAGAGAATTGATGAAAAAATTGAAGCGCAGATTGAAGCTTTAAAAGAAGCCATTTTATATCTTGGTGATCAATTTGTTGTACTAAAAACTATAACCCAATTGACTTGCCATGACGCTTATAAACATATTTGTGTTACCCCACTGCCTTTTAATGGATCATGGGAAAATGTACGTATGCATTTACAAGGAGTTTGGAATCATGCTAATATTAGTCTGGATCTCTTAAAATTACAAGAAATAAACGTCATTAGTCAAAGTATGTTGCATTATGAAGACCCCGGCGATTTAGCTGGTGAGATCTTAAATCAGTTAAATGGTTTTAATCCCTTCAATTCATTGAAATATTCCTTTTGGATATTTTTGGCATTAATAATCGGATTAATTCTGATGTATGTAATGTTTGCCTGCTCTTGCAAAAAATTCAATAATCAATTAAATTCCTCTAAGGCACAACTTCACTTTTTGCATTTGAAAAATATAGGGGGAGATGTTGGGAGCGGTTTCCCGCAGTGCGAGGCAAGGTTCCAAGTTGAGCCAAAAGCTCCCTGCTGTCCCCATAGCCAACCCGCAGTCCTGCGGCGCGAGGCAGGGTTTTGGGTTGAGCAAAGGCTCCTTTGGTCGTACCTGGCCAACCTGCTGGGGCTGCACCTAGCTCTTCCCCCTTATGGAAGTAAATGTACATATTTGCTTCTCCTTTAAAATGTTATCGAGACAAGTTCCCATAAAGCAAGCAAGAAGGTGGCCTGACACATGACCGCCTTGGCAGACATTACTTAATAAACAAACTTCACTGTTTTAGTCTAATATGTGGCCTTCCTGCTCTATTGCTTAAACAAATAACAGGTGTCCAGTCTTAAAAACAATGTATGTTTGTGCGCGAGATGTACTTCTCCTTAAAGAAATAAGCCGCCTGCTTACAGAGGCTATATAAACTCTACATGCAAAAAATAAAGCTTGTCCCATTGCGGCCATCAGCTGCATGGAACCTCCTATCCCATGAACTTTTCCTGTCACCGGCCGGGGGACCAGCAGGCCCTTACCTTCCTTCTCTGGACCCCAGGGCGGGGGGGGGGAGTGTCATCCCGGTCGGGGTCCATGCATCTAGGATGGGTAGAAAGGTCATGTATTGGTCTCCCTGCACAGCAACAGGGCTTACAGGGAGCAGGGGTCCTGGGGGAGCTGCCAAAACTCCGACTGCAATGCCTCCTTCCATGGACAGGGCCTTAGGGGCCGCCCTCCAATGTGGGGCTGTGGAAGTCTGCAGGCGCTGCTCACGGTCCTCCCACTGGGGTCGGGGTGTTTGGACCCCAGCCGGGAGGCCAGGCCCCACCCGGGAGACACGTCCACACTAACACAGTGGTCCGCGGGGAACAGGCATCAGCGGCCACTCACTGGTGACCTGACGCTGTGTGAGCGCCTCCTCTTTATGCACCGGGGTAATGGGGGGAGAGTGGGAAGAGTTGGGGAATTGGGAGAGGTGGGAGTTCTGGGTTATGGGGAGGAGTGGGAGAGTTGGGGTACTGAGGAGAGTGGGAGGACTGAGCCACTGGGGAGAGCGGGAGAGTCGGGTCGCTGTGAGCCAGATCCGGAGCCCGAGTGCTTCCGAAGGTCTGCGGACGCACAGTGAGCGCCAGGCAGCAGTGGGAGCCGGGGGCGGCACAGTTGCGCCCCACAGTGGGGTCCCGCATCATGACTGTGGGCGGGCAGGGTGCAATGAGCACTTAGCCCTTCACCCTGAAGGCTGAGGGTCCCGGGGGAGGGTCGTTTCCCCACGCCGGGTGGGAAGGGGATGCAGGCACCCTCCCACATCCTCAGTTCCCATCCTCGGGCCCTTCAGGCCTTCCGCCCTTCTAGGCAGACTGGGGGTCACAGACGTCCCCCCCCCGACCCCCAGAGTTCACAGCATGGGGTTGCACTTAACATTTGAGGGGCCCCTGGGTGTTTCATTCTGTTCCACGTCGACTCTGTAGTTTGGTTCAGGTCAGGATCTCGAGGCTGTGGCGTGGAGCCTCGCGTGGGGCTTGGGCTCCGGTGGGTGAGGAGTCCGCTCCAGGTTCCCCCTCTCCCTCCGCCCCTCCCCACTGCACCCTCTCTCAAGGAAATCTTCTAAAAATCAACATGAAGACATGTGAGCATCTTTATCTCCTCTGCAGAGGTGCCTTCGTGTGTGTAACGACCGTATAAATGCCTTTCACGGACCCACGGGGAGTCCTACCAGAAACCCCTTTTCCTTGATATTTATTGAAGTACAGTCGACACGCAATGTGCCAGTAGTTTTAGGGCTACAACTAGTGACTTGACAATTCTGTGTCTTACTCAGCTCCCCCCACAAGAAGTGGCGTCACCGTCTGTCCCCGTACAAAGTTGTCACAACAGTACTGACTCTATTCCCTAGGCTGTACTTTCTGAATTTCTGTGACTTCTTTATTTGAGAACCAGACGCTTATAGCTGTTACTATCGTTCATCTATGTTGCCCATGCCCTACCCACGGCCCCTCTGTCCATCGGTCAGCAGGATCCATCACATTAACCAGAGTAAGGACATGGGGCAGCCCCGATGGTTCAGCAGGTTAACGCCTGCCTTCGGCCCAGGGCGGGATCCTGGAGTCCCGGGATCCAGTCCCACGTCGGGTACCCTACATGGAGCCACCTTCTCCCTCTGCCTGTGTCTCTGCCTCTCCCTCTCTCTCTGTCTCTGAAGGATATGTAAATAAAACCTTTTAAAAAAAGAAAAACAAGAGAAAGGACAAAAAGCATATGATCCTCTCAAGAGTTGCAGAAAAAGCATTTGACAAAATACAACATCAAAAGCATAGTGGGTTTTGAGGAAATGTCTATCAACAGAATAAAGGCCCCTAGGAAGGCCCGCAGCTGACGTCATCCTCAAGGGTGAAAACCTGAAATCATCTCCCCGGGGCAGGAACAAGCCAAGGAGGTCCCCTCTCAGCGCTGGAAGTCCTAATGTAGTCAAGAGACAGGAAACAGCAAAGGTTCCACTCCTGGAAGGGGGACGTCACACTGTCCCTATTTGCTGAAGACGCGGTACTAGAAACAGGAAACCCGAGAGCCTGCACCAAAACATGTTAGAACTAAGGAGTGAGTTCAGTAAAGTCACGGGACACAAACTGACCCTACAGAGCTCAGTAGCCTTGCTGTGTCCCGACAATGAGCACTCAGGAAGCAAATGAAGGACATGACTCCCTTCTCAGGAGCATCACAGAGAATAAATAATGAGACTGAACCAAAGGGGCACAAGACTTGTGCACTGAGCCATACCAGGCTCTGGGAGGCCGTCCCGGGCTCGTGGGGTGGGAGCCTCATCTTGTGAAAATGTCCACAGTTCCTGAAGCCACCCTCGGTTTCAATGTCATTCTTATCAAAATCATGGTGGCAGATCTTAGAAATAGGAAAAAAAAAAAACCATAACATCCATCCGCCCCCACAAATGACCCCGGACAGCATCAGTGTAGGAGAAGCAAGACAGAGCGGGACGCAGCACTTTCCTATTTCAAACGATGTCACAGAGACACAGGAGAAAGCAGTGTGATTCTCGGGCCCCCTGCTGGCTCGGTTGGTTAAGCATCCGACTCCTGACCTCACGCCTGGTCCTGATCTCGGGGTCGTGAGTTCTAGCCCTGGGCTGGGCCATGAACGAGGCATGGCGCCTACTTGAACAAACCAGACCCACAGGGTTGGTCCCAGCATAAGGTGAAGGAGCAGAAGAGAGAGAGTCCAGGAGGAAATGTGCTCTGATACAACTGATTATTTTAACTTAATTTAATTTAAACCCAATTAATTAACGTATAGTGTATTATATTTTCAGAGGAAGCATTCAGGGATTCAACAGCTGGAGATAACACTAGTGCTCATGACTTCCCGTGCCCTCCTTCATGCCTGTCCCCTGTTATTCCCCCCCTTCCCCTCCCCTCCAGCGACCCTCAGTTCATTTCCTATGATTAAGAGTCTGTATTTCCTGCCTCTGTTTTCATCTTATTTGTTTTTCCTTCCATTCACAGATGTCCATCTGCTTTGCTTCTTTAATTCCACCTATGAATGACACCACACGGTCATTCTCTTTCCCGACTGACTTATTTCACTTAACACGATCCCTCTAGTTCTATCCACGTCATTGCAAATGGCAAGATTTCCTTCTCTTTGATAGCTGAGTACCATTCCTATCATCTATCTATCTATCATCTATGACCATCATCTATCTCCCATCCTCTTTATCCATCATCTGCCCGAGGGCTCCGAGGCTCCTCCCGCAGTGTGGCTACTGTGGACCCGCCTGCTGTGCACATTGGGGTGCAGGTGTCCCGAGTGTCACTGCATCTGCATCTTGGGAGTGAGCTCCAGGCCTTGCACCTGCCGGTCGCAAGGCGGCTCTATTTGTAACTTCCTCAGGAGCCTCCACACTGTTTCCAGGGGGCTGCACCAGCCCGCGGTCCCGCCCAGAGTGGAAGAGGGTCGAGTGAGTTTTGCAGGACATGGTAAAAGTCTGGTCCACATTTCATTCTGCGTCCTGTGGGCTCCAATTCCTTGTCCTTAAGTATTTCTGGGGAAGCCGGGTGTTGGGTTCCGTTTCAGTGAGACGTTTCCGAAGCTCACAGGCCTCAGCTGGAGCCTGGAAGGAGGCAGGTGCGCCCAGGCGCGGGCACACCTCCTCCTACAGGGCCTCCTGCATTGCCTGAGCGGCCCGCAGGGGGCGCCCGAGCCCAAGCCCCGCCCAGGGGGTGCGCATGCCCAGTAGGCCTCTTCCACCTGCACTAACAAGAGCCTGCTGCCTGTGCTGGGGAGGCCTCAGGAGGACATGGGGAGCGTCCACGCTGATGAGCCACAGACTCCTCAGGACCCGCGGGGCGTCTTCATGGGCACATTGGGCCGCGTTCACGCTGACAGGAGCCCCGGTCTCCTCAGGACCCACGGGGAGGCTTCAGGAAGATGTGGCGCGGCGTCCAGTCCGGCAGGAGCTCCCGGCCCCTCAGGACATAAGTTGACGCTTCTGGCCGCTGGGGGCCGCATCCACGGTGACAGGAGCCTGGTCTCCTCAGGACCCGGGGTGAGACTTGAGGAAGATGTGGGGCCGCGTCCTCGCTGACAGGAGCCCCGGCCTCCTCAGGACCCGCGGGGAGGTTTCGGGATGACGTGGGGCCGCGTCCACACTGACAGGAGCCCCAGCCTTCTCAGGACCCACGGGGAGGCTTCAGTCCCATGTCGGGCCGCGTCCACGGTGACAGGAGCCTGACCTCCTCAGAACCCGCGGGGAGGTTTCCGGAGGATGTGAGGCATAGTCCACAGTGACAGGACCCCCCCTCGTCCTCAGGACCCGCTGTCTAAACTATGACTCAGGAAGACATGGGGCCACGTCTGCCATGACAGGAGTCCGGCTTCCTCAGGACCCGGTGGAGGACCCTGGAGGCGCTGTTCGGAGTCACGTCCACCTCAGCAGTGGCTACTCAGAACGACAAGGTAAGTGAATGGGGACAATTGAGATAGGGTTAGGGTTTAGGGTGAGCAATAGGTGGTTAGAGTTAAGTTAGGTGACATGGATTAGTGATCATGTTTATGCCTACGAGTTACTGGTTAGGGTGAGGGATGGGGTAAGGGTCATGAGTTAGGAGTTAAGGTACTGTATTAGGGATTGGGAAACTGAGTTAGGGTCTGGATCAGGGTGATGTTACAGATAGGTTATAGGGTTTTGGGTCAAGGGATAGGGGGAGGGAATAGGGTTAGAGTTAGAGTGGGGGATGGGGTTAGAGTTTAGGGTTAGGGGTTAAGGCAGTGTTAGGATTATAGGTTAGGGTTTGGGCTAGGTTTAGGGTATGGGTTAGAGATTAGGGTACGGGTTAGGGTTAGGGTACGGGTTAGGGTAAGGGGTTAGGGTTTGGGCAAGGGGTTAGGGTTAGTGTTTGGTTAGGGTTAGGTCAGGGTCAGGGTCAGGGTACGGTTTTGGAAAAGGGTAAGAGATAGGGTTAGGGAGTGGGTTAGGGGTTAGTTTGAGGGTACGGGTTAGGGTACAGTTTGGGGTATGAGATAGGGTTAGTATTAGAGGGGTAGGCTTATTAGCGTATAGGTTAAGGTTTGGAATAGGATTTGAGTACATTAAGTTAAGGTTAGGGTTAGGGTTAGATTTAAGGTAGGGTCAGGGCTAAGGGTTTAAAATAGGTTTAGGAGTTAGGGTGAGGGTTGGCAGGAAGGTTCAGTGAATGTGTTTCGGTCTTGGGGTTTGTGTTTGGTTTTCGATGAGTGATAGGTCTTGTTTTAGGGTTAGGTTAACATCATTAGGCTTAAGTGTAGGGTGAGGGTTATGTCCGTGTACGGTTAGAGTTTGAGTCTTGGCATGTGCTGCACTGGGACTCTAGTATCTTGGGCAGTTTAGTTTTATGCACCCTATTTAGGTTTTGGGTTCAAAGATAGCCTGACTCCACCAAGTCAGTGGCCCCCCGCAGAGAATCAAAATCCAGGCTTCTGCTGGGGTCAGAATAGACATGGCAGGCTTCTCCTGAGCTGAGCTGAGGAGGGGATTTGTGGCTCTAAGTACTCTTTATTTGGATGTTCAGTTGCCTTTCTGATTTTACCTCTTGTGCGCACATGTTTCATCAATACCACCAATTATCATTTTAAAGT